CCTCAGGACACCCTGGGTACTCTGGGCTCCAGCTCTGAATCAGCAAAGCTTCCTTCCAAGTTCAGCTCTCACCTTCTTACACAAGGGCGGTTAATATAAATTTTCCTTCGTTCCAACACATCTTCAAGTGAATCTCAGATAAGTTCAAATAGAGAATTTAAGGAGTAGTTAACTGGGAATAAGAAACTCCTGTGATACATCATAAACTAGATTTTAAAGAATTGCATTATCTCAGAATTCAAACTACTGTAAGCGAGCCAAAGCTTGTCTAACCTTAAGCCTACTGGGATAGCCATCAATATTTCTTGGAGAAAAAAACTTCTGAAAGGATTTTTAACTACTCAGTTGATTCTTGTCTTTCACAGAGAAATCCCAGGCCCCTCTGCCAGGAAAGCAGAGAGGACTGATTGTACTCAGTTGCCTAAAAATGTACATTGAAGCTAGTGGTGGCTTCCTAAACAGTTTTAAAAAACAGTTAAGTAATTACTGGCTCAAAAGATAAAAATCATTTCTTTGCTCTTGAACATTGAACATTTCAGGAATAAGTTACCTGGCCTCACCATCTGCTTATTCAGGGTTTTTTTTTTTTTTTTTTTTTTTAAGAGAGACTTTGGTGGCCTTCATTCTCTCATGTATGAAGGCATTTATTTTAAATGAACTCATAAAAGGACATTTTCTAAGAACATTCCCAATGAAAAGGCTATTATTCTGGTGCCTTGTCTTCTCCACCAGTTATCCTCATTGCAGAAATAGCTTTGTTTCTTTAAAGTAGCTGCAGGAGAGACCAATGACAGAAAGAATGAGGGAAATTTCACCAAGATCATGCAAGCTGAGTACATCCGAGGGCTAAATTTAATTTTCTGATTCTTTCCACATATTCTAGGCTTTGCCAATTTATGCACAAAATATTCTTATGTACACTTATTTTTCACTTCCTATCCCCAAAGTGTTGTTATCCTAGAGAGGGTCTCAAAGGTTTTCTAAGGCAGTGATTAAATTAAATGAAATAGTTGTTCAGTGATAAGTTGAACACAAAAAAGGTCTTGGTAACTAGTAGTTTTGGCTTAACAGCTGTGTGTGTCTTGTCCAGTTTAGTTAAATTACCCCTGCTTCTGTTATCCATGTGTGCTTCCTTATCTGCGTGTGTGTGTGTGTGTGTATGTGTGTGTGTGGTGCGAGGAGAGCATTGGTGGTGGTGGGAACTGCAGAGCCAGAATACACTTTCACATCTCACTATGGAGTAAACGGAAACATCCACAAGCCAAAGCTGCAACAAAGCTTTAGCTTTCCTCTTTGATTCTACAAATACAAGTCAATTGCTTGTGCAACCAAGTACAAAGAAATACACCTAATAATTTGAATATTTAATTTTATTTAGAATGTTTTGCACACTCCAGTCTTTTGCATATGGGTAAATTATCAAATAAAGAAGTTAAATAAGGGTTATGTATCAATGCTCTAAAGCATTGTGGATTGGGGGCCTAATTTCTTCTTTATTGCAAATGATAAACATGGAATACATCTCTGCACTGACTCTCATGCTTAACATATTTTCCTGCCATCTGCATTGCCCCTCTTTATCTTTTACCTTAGATCAATTTGTCCACTTCCTTAAGATCTGCCTTCCTCAAGAGGCCTGCTTTGGTAGAACTGACCACCCTGAGATGGCTGTCTTACTTTTTTTCCTTAAACATCTATGCACACATCGTGCTGGGCAACCATGTATCTTTGTGTTTCTTATTTTCTTCCATCAAAACTAAAAGTTCCATACATGCAGGGGTCTTTTCTTCTACATCTATGAAATAGTAGTCGCTCAATGACATGCATGAGATTCACAAAGACTGAGTCCATAAGTAAATAAGCACACTGAAGAGACTCCTCTGTAGGCCTTGGAGGATCTAGGAGAGGTTTCATAGTCGATGCACCTGGGGGATGTGTGCTGACTGCCAGCAGCACTGATGGAAGCGGACAGCTGGCATCCACCTGAGTGTGCACGTTTATGCCAGCCTCATCTCCTCTCCCATTCAAGAAAAGAAGAGTGGACTGGATTCTGAAAATCTTTGTTACTGTCTTAAAATATGACTTAAATAGTAAGTCTTTCTTCTTTATTACCTCTTTGCTGATTTTAAAGAACTAGAGATTTTGAGGATCATTAGAGGTAATTAATGTTGGTGAAAGTTGTAGGTATAATGATCCAACTCCTATTGCAACATAGGACTCACTACAGGTAGATGGATAAGTTAATGGCATTTGTAAAGCTATGTTTAAGATTAAACACCTAAAGGGATTTTATTTTTTAACTTTTTATCTTGTATTGGGATGTAGCCAATTAACAATGCTGTGATAGTTTCAGGCGCACAGCAAAGGGACTCAGCCATGCATATAATAGTATCCCTTCTCCCCTAAACTCCCCTCCCATCCAGGCTGCCACATAACATTGAGCAGAGTTCCATGTGCTGTACAGTAGGTCCTTGTTGCTCATCCATTTTAAACATAGCACTGTGTACATGTTCGTTCCAAACTCCCCAACTATAAAAGAATTTTAAATGAATCATGTTTTGAAAATGATTCTTCCAAGAAAAGGGATTAAAATTGCTTCCTGTTTTCTTTTAACTCATTCAAGTACTGGTGAACAAAGAGATCATTTATGTCAGGTATGGAAAGAAAACATTTTCCAAAGTGACTGCCATTTGACTTGTAAATCAGCTACAGCAACTTAAGATTAATGACCAGTGCTACTTCCCATCTAAGACTGTATTATTAAAGCAGATAATCATCAATTAATTCAATTGCTCTTTTAACAACCTGTTACTGAAAATATCTGCAATAATATGCATGAGAGAAAGTATTCTAACTTTTACAGATATCTCTTATACATGTATAATGGTATTTGTTTATCTTTGGGTTTCCAAAGTATCAAGTATGGTGCAAGTAGTGGTACTCAGTTAATGCCTATAATCTAAATTAATTTGTCTTTTGTTTTGAATGCTTTTATAATCATTGTTCACTTGGCCTAAATAGACAACCCCTGAGCTATTATCCTAATTTTTTAGATAAGGAACACTAAAATCTCTATAAGGTGATAAAAAATAAATACTGACTCCCGAGTGACTGAAATCTCTTTCTTTCCTCATTTCAGTACTGGAAGGAGAGAGGGAAAGAGAATATATAAATGCTTCATTATGTAAGAGTCTCCTTGCTTTCTAATTTTTGCAGTACTGCAGGAAAAGGTGTTTACTGACAGTTACTAATGTGATCAATCATTAGGCATATATAACTTTTACAACTTCCACTCTCAACTGATAATAATTGACTTTGTATCAATCACAATTTTGCCTCAGTGATATATATATTCACTTATGTAAAGTTCTTGAGAAATATTTGGATGAAATATCAAAATACGGAGATAAAGATGTAAAATATAGTATAAACTTAAACATTACTTCATAATTTGAATTGCTCTTGATCTAATTATTGGTATAAGAATAGGTTTGAAACAATAATCATGTAGACAATTTGTAGCAAGCATAATGTCAGAATATTATTATATGTAAAACACCAATCTGTACCTTTCAGGATTATGAGTTAGAGATCTTAGGTTTTAGCTTGTTATTTGGTCATTGAATAAAGATTTTTTAATGTAAATCAACATATTGTATACTTTGGAGTCAAAGTATTATATAAGGAAAAATGAAAATGATCCCTGTGATGTTAAATCATGTGCTTTTCTATTTTAATTTTACTGACTGTATGATACTGAAGAAGGTCATTTAATTTCTCTGAGTCTCAATTTTGGGGTATGTACAATCATAATAAGGTGTATCTTCCCTTGCCTACCTTCTAAGGTTGTAGGGAGGATCAAATTTGGCAATTCACATGAAAACACTTTGTGACATGCTCCCCATTAAGACATTGCTATTTTGCTTATTATTTATATAATGAAATAGTGTTTAAGAAATACAATATTTGGACATCACTACAATTAAGACAGTGTATCTATTGCTGAAAGAGCTGATTCTGATTTATAGAGTAAAAATTTAAAATTAAGCAAGCTACTGAAAATGTAAATATAGGAATTAACTCAGTAGTATTTGTTTTTCTGTCCCACTAAAGGCTGGAGAGTAATATCTGTGTGTGTGTGTGTTTATGTAACTGTGATTGTCCTAAAAGAACCTAAATAACCCTCACAAACTTCGAGTTCACTTACATTCCTCTTGGCAGAGTAGCCATAATATAATGAGCAAGGATGGCTGACCCCAGCGTTCAAAAGTCTTCATACAATCAGAGAACAGAACTCACAGAAAATAAGCCGGAATAGATATACTGCACTGACAGATCTCCTTTGAGGAGGCGTTAATTTAACTTTAAACCCTGGTCTCATTGAAAGCAGGGGAGAAAGGGGATGTCTCCAAAATGCAGGCGCTGTTGCCATAGCATTTTTCTTCTCTCTTCCTGCCTACTCCTCCTCCCCCAAAGCAGCAACAAATGGTGCTCTACCGTTTTCTTTCAGGAACCGGATGCATTTTCAGAAGCCAGGACTCCAGTGGTGTGATGTCTTCACCACCTAATCACTGGTAGGGATATTGAAGAAGTCTGAGGTGCTATTAAGTTTCTCAGGACAGAATCATCTTTGCGGATGCAACTGCAGCACAGGAAACAGACTCAGGGAAAATCTGAGCCCTCCCAAGTCTCACTGGACCTCCGCACGAGCCCAGTCACCGTCACTTCTGCAACACAACCGAATTCTTTCAGCACTCGCAGACGCGTACGGCTCCCTCGCCGCGCGATCCTCCCCTCCGCAGTGAGCGGACTCGCACCAGCCCGCTCGGGTACCGTTCGCGCCGCGGCCGCCCGCGCACGGAGCTCTCGCCCGCCTCCTGCCCCCTCTCGCGGCCCCCGCCCCCTCGCCCGCCCGGCTCCCTCCGGCCGCCACTTGGAGGGATTCCCTCTCGGGCGGCTCTGCAGCAGCACCCGCTGGCCTTATTCGCGGCCCCGGGAGCATGGATCTCCGCAGAAGAGCCCTTCTCGGCGTGAATGGACTTCGAGTTCTCCTGATGCTGTTCCGTGAGTAGCGTTTTGGGGACGGTCAGAGCAGGGCGCACTCTTTGCGGAGAACGAAAGGGGCACCGTAGGGCAGGTAGCTTAAGGTCACAAAGTGGACCTCACGTTTTGCGGGTTGGTTCTCTTTGGGGGGGCGGGGGGTTGCGGAGGGCCTCCCCCTCGGTAGCAGGGAATTCCCCAGAGAGCCACACACCAGTATGGTAACCCCAGACACGGTGCTCACACGGGCCTGCTTGGTGGCTTAGAGCATTGGCGAGACACCTTTGTGATGGGGAATACATGTAAATCCATGGCTGATTCAGGTCAATGTATGGCAAAAACCACTACAATATTGTAAAGTAATTAGCCTCCAACTAATAAAAATAAATGGAAAAAAATTTTTTTAGCAACAACAACAACAAAAGGCTAAAATGAAGGAAAAAGGCCAATCGGATTACAAGTCATTACGGCTTTAAATGTTTTCTAATTTAATTTTATTATAAATTAGCAGCAGTCGAATTTGTTGCCGCTGGGGCAGAGAAACGGCCCGCAGAGCGCGTGGTAGCCGGCGAGGAACTTTGTCATCCCGAAGCCTGCGGACTGTGATGTCTCTCCACCTTGAGCCCCAGACGCGTGGGCTCGCTGAGCCCCGAACAGATAGGATTTGTTTTTTTCCGCAGATACAGTGGCTCGAATCATGGCAGAACAAGAAGTGGAAAATCTCTCAGGCCTTTCCACTAACCCTGAAAAAGATATATTTGTGGTGCGGGAAAATGGGACGACGTGTCTCATGGCAGAGTTTGCAGCCAAATTTACTGTCCCTTATGATGTGTGGGCCAGCAATTACGTGGATGTAAGGCACTTTTTCCCTCCCGGCTTGTTCCTAGGGCTCCAGGGGCGAAGGGCACCCTCCCTCAAGACCCCGTGAAGACCTGGGTCGCCCGCCTGTTCCCCCCTAAGCCCTGCAGGCTGCTCCTGAATGCTGCATGGGGGTTCCGGCTTGTAACGCCTTCTGCTCGCCCCGCCTGCTTGGAAAGTAACCCCCCCCCCTCTCTCCGCTCCCCTAACGGTCGCCCGGGTCTGCACGCAGAGCATCTAACCGCATGTTCCCGGACCTGAGAGCGCGCGCGAAGGAGCGCCCAGGCGCGCCAGACCCGGAGTCTGAACCCGCCGCCCTTTACAGCCCCCACGGGGGCCCGCGCGCTGAGGGGTGCGGGGCGTCTGTGTTCCCAGCTGATCACGGAGCAAGCGGATATCTCATTGACGCGGGGAGCCGAGGTGAAGGGCCACTGCGGCCACGACGAGTCGGAGCTGCAAGTGTTCTGGGTGGACCGCGCGTACGCACTCAAAATGCTGTTTGTAAAGGTAACTGCTAGCGACGCTGGCGGCGCCCATGCAGACTCCGGGTGCGGGTGGGTGGGGGGCGCCCCTCTGCCTCCCGGGCCACTCTGCGCGGGCGGCTCACACGCACCTCTTCCGCTCGTCAGGAAAGTCACAACACGTCCAAGGGACCCGAGGCAACGTGGAAGCTGAGCAAAGTCCAGTTTGTCTACGACTCCTCAGAGAAGACCCACTTTAAAGACGCAGTCAGTGGTAAGTAGAGGTCAGCAGGTCTGGAGAGGGACCCTGGGGAAAAGCAGACGCTGCTGGGATCACAGGTGTGGAAGCGGAATGCCTTAGGGTTTTGGAAACGCCCCGGGCTGGCTCTCTGGGATGGAGGAAGAGAGCGCCTCTGGGTCCTCTGGCCTTCAGGCCTTGGAGACGCGCAGCAAACTCAGGGCCTGAAGGCCTTCGCCATCGCTTGACCCAGGATGAGACTTCTCCTGAGGGCCTGTCTCCCCGTGGCTGCCTCAGGATGGTTTTCTCAAGATTTGTCCTTTAGAGGAACGGGGAGAAGGACAAAGGCTGTATTTTTATTTCCTTCTGCACCCCGGTTTTTTATTCTTATGCGCTAAAATTCCAAGGGGGCAGTATGACTTTCATTTTGGGTCAGAATTTGAGGACCTTTCAGATCTTTTGGCCCATGGCTCAGGCCTCACCACATCTTTAGTCGACTGCAGACACCCCAGAGTGGATTCTGAACTGTGTCCTAAATTTATTACTTTTTTCACGCCCATCACGCCATCAGCTCACCCAGATCCTCCAAAAATATCGTGGCAAGGAACATCCAAGCTCCAAATAATAATGTTGGCATCTTCAGGCACCGTCCAAGACCACATTTAAATTTATATATTTATTTTGTAGACTGTCTGAGCTACTAATAATGAAGCCATCCATCACCTGAGCACCTGAGTTAGGACAAGATTTTTATTGAACATATACAAAAATATATGTATATTCTTCCATTTCACCCCTTATCATCCAGTAAAAAGGGAAATTTCGTCTCTTTATCAAAGTTTATATTCAGATATTTCCCACAGTTTAATTAGACTGAAAAAAGAAAAATCTTAATCCTGGGAAGGAGAAAAGAGAGGGTGGCAGGCTTCCAGAAATTAGGTGTCTATACAGGGGTATCAGCCCAGAGCACTAGCAGCCGCTGTGCTTTGCTGAGAAAGATATTTTATTTTTTGCAGAGCAGTGTGAGATGTGGAAAACCAAGTCACTGTTCTTTGCATATTTTTGGAATCTCTGTTAGATCTTATATAGTAAAAAGGATTGGAGGTTTCGGTATCACTCTGCTTCCAAAAAGAATTTCCAGATTACTGTTTAAGGAGCCCATGCTCATGAAAGGACAGAGGCATTCACATTTGCAGAGCCTTAGGCGGACAGAGTAATAGGGCATGCCAGCGAGTGGGCTAAGAGGCAAGAGCCAGCTGTCTGGATCACCATGAAGAGGGTTCTGCTAGCCACAGGAGCCTGACCATTGCTTTGGACCCTTCCTGCAGCTGGGAAGCACACAGCCAACTCGCATCACCTCTCTGCCTTGGTCACCCCAGCCGGGAAGTCCTATGAATGTCAAGCTCAGCAGACCATCTCACTAGCCTCCAGCGACCCACAGAAGACAGTCACCATGATCCTGTCCGCGGTCCACATCCAGCCCTTTGACATCGTCTCTGACTTTGTCTTCAGTGAAGGTAGGTGGGTGGGGAGTCCGAAGGAAGGAAAGAAGCCGAGGTTGACTCAGGCTGGAGACAGAAGGTGACCTGCAGGGCGCCAGGCTGTTTCACTTGGACTGTCTCAGGGTAGCATGGCCCTGCCTCCCTCTGCGACGCGTCTTAAAGGCTAAAGGAAGCCAACTGAAAAAATGGCTCTTCCTGCCCTTTCTCCTTCACGTCCTTCTCCCTCTGTTCCTTTTTCCTTCCTCCCAATTTCCCTTATATTTTCCATTGTTTTCTTTTTCCCCTCCTTTGGCAAAAGAGGAGACTGGATAGGAAGACAGTCAGCTGGAAAAAAGCCTACAATTTTGATGCAAGTTTCCCAAGGAAAAGGCAGCTGAAAATTCCAAGCAGTTATCTAGAGAGCCGTGGGTTGGAGAAAGGTCTTTGCTTATATGGGTTTCAGTATCTTCATGGTCTCTAGACACATCCAGCCCTAGGTTCTACCACTGTAAATCTAAGTTTTGTGTGATCAAAATGCCATAGGGGTGTGTGTGTGTGTGAGAGAGAGAGAGAGAGAGAGGCTCATGAAGATGTGCCTCTGTCCAGCATTCATATTTATGGGGAGGGACACCAGAGAGGCCCCAAGGAGGGAAGGGTCCCTGGTCTGCTCCCTCTGAGGAGTGCAAAAAGCTGCTTCTCAGTCTGTTCCAGCCCTGAAAGGGGATCAGGCAGGACCTAGCAGAGGCATGTGGAATATCCACATTCTCTTGGTTTTCTGCATTCCAGCAGAGGTAGGGGAGCTCACATTCTGCAGTTTGTCCAAACCTAGCAACAGTTTACACTGGACAAGCATAGGGAAAGCAAATTCCTCTAGTCATTTGTTTTCTCTCTCATGTTGTCTAGAAGGGGCTTCCCAGGTCGGTCAGGGTAAAGAATCCACCTGCCAATGCAGGAGACGGTTGGGAAGATGCCCTGAAGAAGGAAATGGCAACCTCTACCAGTATTGCCTGGGAAATTCCACGGACAGAGGAGCCTGGTGGGCGATAGTCCATGGGGTCACAAAGGAGTTGGACATGACTGAGTGACTAAGCAACGACAATTGTCCAGAGGAGGTTGCTAGAGACAGTTTGAGATTCTCATTTATTCTTTGTGGTTAAAAAATGAGATTTTGGTTGCTTTATGGATGCTCACCTTTGGGCTAGGGATCCCCAGGTGAATGCCACCATTTAAATATGTAGAATATTAGGGAATCCTGCTCTGGTCACATGCAAATCATTAAAGAATTCCCAAGGTATCCAGCTTTCATCAACTACCCCTCTCAAAGTACACAGATTATTCACACACAAGTACACACAAGTTCACTCAAAGTTCACACAAGTTTGCTCAAAGTACACACAAGATTATTCAGAAGGCCTTTGGGAATTCCTAAGTTAAACTCTCCTTAAGGGAAAGGCCTGCTTTTTTCTCATCTTCATATTTTTTAGCACTTAATACAGTGCTTGGCACATTGCAGCTGCCCTGTGAACTTTGGCTGAATTGACATTCCGAAGCTGTGGGCTCGGTTAATGTGTGCATGTGCTGTGCTTAGTCGCTCAGTCCTGGCTGACTCTCTGCGACCCCACGGACTGTAGCCTGCCAGGCTCCTCTGTCCGTGGGGATTCCTCAGGCAAGAATACTGGAGTGGGTTGCCATGCCCTCCTCCAGGGGAGCTTTCCAGCCCAGGGACTGGACCTGCGTCGCTAATGTCTCCTGCTTTGGCAGGCAGGTTCTTTAACACCAGTGCCACCTGGGAAGCCTCAGGCTCAACTAATAGAGAGCTGCAAATGCTTCAGTGTGAAGCAAATCAGAGTTTAATAAATTTAGAACAGCAGTGCCACACTCACCTGTTATGTGGAGGTGATTCCACATTCACATTGTTATTGGCTGTTATGGGCTATTCCATCTTAATGTGTTTCCTACAAAATTGAAACTAAACGTCAAGATGTTAACACTCAAAAATACTGTTGGTTATGAAGGTATTTATAAAACGGAAATGTCTTTCTTAAACTCAAAATATTAAATATAATTAAAAGTAATTGGACTTAATTAGTGACCAGAAATTCATTTTGAAAGTATTGGATCATGGAGTCCCCAGAGTCCGTCCAGTAGACGCTTTTGAGTTTATGTGTGTACTTTCAGTAGTCTCTAATTACTCTTTGTGTTTCCCTGGTCTGCTGTTTTTAGGCACTTCACTTTTTTGTACCACTGGTGCTATAATTGCTGCTTTTACTGTCTCCTTACATCTCACCCCAACCCACTATGGATTATTTCTAAATTGTTGCTTATAGTCATTTATGAATGGAGAAATCAAATCTCACAGATGTTAAATTTGTATACAAAATAAGAGTAAATGGGTACCAGATAAGGATTGGGGCCACTTTCCTAAAAATCAGTGGTTATTTTAGCATAGACTTAATGATCTCTGTGTACAAAAAGCAATTTTAGTCCAGTTCCAGGGTCTAAATGGATTGTCTTAGAGAGTTTGTAAAGACGTGTAACTTCCTAAATGCAGACATATTCAGCACAGGCAAATTGGACTTGTCTCACCAAGGCTTTTCTGGATGATAATTAGGATGTTGCCTCCTGTATGGTGCCCTGGGGCTCACGCCTTGAGGTTCCTGGGAGGAGGCAGGCCTCGTTCAGAGTCACTCATTGGACTGGTGTGCTTTTGTGTGGCCGGGCTTCTTTTGTTGCCGGCTCCTCGTGTCTGTGCCTCTCAGCACCTGCCCCCAGCATGTTTTGTAAGAGGTCATTTTACTTGTTTTAGTGGAATCTGAAAGATTGCTTTTGGAGTGCCTTTTCAGAACCCGGCACTTGGCCCCCATTTCCCAGGACAGAAAGAGGCCCTGGCTGTCTGGGCGATGCCTTGCGGGCGTGAGTGGGGGCTGCCCGCGTTGGAGCGGGGTGGTGCTGTCTGGTCACGTGTCTGACACCCCCGGCAGGGCTGTGTACACGGCTTCTGGCACGTGCACGCAGGATCCACCGCATGAGGGCGTCGGGTGAGATAGTCTCCCAGCTGCCTGCGTCACAGACCCTGAGAAACGCGAGGCTGCACACGCGCGCCGCACTCACAGAGCCGCTCACGTGGGGCTGACATCTTGATCACACAGACCCCTTTAGGGCCTTGAACTTGGCTGCTGTCCTCATCCCGGGTGAATCTCGCAGCCCCGCCAGCGCTGTCCGCACCCTGCGCAGCTCTGGCGATCTTTCATCCGCGGTCTGGAGGCGGGGCCCACGACGCCCCGGTGATGCTGGTCCATAGAAAACTGCAGGCACCCGGGGGTGGGGGGCGGTGCTGGGGACTGAGAGATTTCCAGCCGATCAAGGAAAATGATGTGACAGTGAGAGGCAGTGACGCGCAAGCTTCCTGGGGGACACTTGGGCACGGTTGTATGGGGACCTTCCAGAAGAAGGTCTCTGGGGGCCGGTATCCTGGGGATGGGGAGCGGGGTGGGAGGGGCCTTGTGTCTGGGTGATGTCCCCTGACAGCATGGGGAAGGGTCCTGGGGCCCAGAGCTCTGGGGGCCGCAGAGCTTAGGGCTTCTCTCTCTTCAGAGGGGAACAGCTGCTGGGTGGGATTTGTGCCCAAAGCAGGTAGGCCCTAAATGACCAGACCTTCAGGCCATTTTGTTTAGATGTTTTTTTAGATGTTTACATGTTTAGTTGTTTAGATGGTTTTTTAAATAAGTGAATGCGTCAAAATTTGAGTTTGGCACAGGTGGGCTTTTGAGTTAATTGATCTCAGCCTGCAGTGCAAACTTAATAAACCACCAAGGGGCCAATCTGTATAGGCTGGCTTCTTTCTGTAAAAGATACAGTTGGTGTGGTGACGCTCAGTCTGCAGTTCAGGGCAGCTTGCCTGTTCCCACTGTGTGGGGTCCCTTGTCTTTCCCCAGCACGTTCCTGGTGGTGGGGCCCTTTGAGGTTCCCGAGACTTCTGTGATGGGGGTGCTGCCTCCCCGGGAGGGAACAGAGCAGACTATTTCAGTGGCTTGAGTTAAAGGCAGCTCTCATGTGTAATGACAGAAGAAATGCAATGGAACACAAAGGTGCCTCTGTGTCCTTTGTGAAATGTTCAGGTTTAATGGGCGTATAAGTCACCACATATACACTGCTAAGTCGTGTCTGACTCTTTGCGACCCCATGGAGGTAGCCCACCAGGCTCCTATGTCCACGGGATTTCCCAGGCAAGAATACTGGAGCGTGTTGCCATTTCCGGAGCCTTCTTAATTCTCAAGGGGAGACACAGACAGAGACCTGTGAAGGGGGTGCTGAGACCCCCGTTTAAGCGGAGAAACAGGCTCAGGGAGGTGAAGTGACCAGCCAGGGCTGTGCTCTGGTGGCTGCCAGCACTGTGACCGGAGCCTGTCTTTGGGTCTCAGATCCTGTACTCTTAGCATCTTCAAGTTTCTCAGCTGCTCCCGCTGAGAAACACGTGAAAGCAGGGGCCACCTTCAGAAAGGTGGCCGGGTGCCCTGAATTCCTGAGCTCTTCATTATTGTTGCTGACAGTGGGATTGGGAGATACCACTTGATCGGCACTTTACCCAGAACTCTGAGAAAAACAATCTGTATTCTACTGAAAATGAATGCACACCATCCCCAGCAGAGTGCCCTGAGGCTGGCTGCCATGCTGCAAACCAGGGAACAGTGTGCTGATGCCGATCCAGAGCATTGCATACTCCTGTGGTTTACCTGGAACCTCCCAGCCAGGAAACATACCACCTGGGTAACTCATCCTTCTCAGGGCCTCCTGAGGAAGCATCCAGAGAGAGACGGTCTTGTTATTAACACTGCAGAGAGCTGTGTCCAGGGCTGGAACACAGAGACCCAGGGCAGGGCCATGTCACCAGCCAGTCACAGAAAACTGCATTCTTGCTACTGTCCTGAAGCCTAGCGTTTTAGGTGGGGTTCCCCAAGAAGCAATCCTCCGTAAGGATGTAAGGGCAGGTAGCTTATTTAGGTGTTTCTAAAAGCACTGCTCGGGGAGTGGGAAAGTGAGGTGGGAAGGCTAGCAGGTAGTGCAGATGCGTAAGTGAGCAGGTACCCCGGTGGGCGCTGGGGCTCACCCTGATGGAGACTCTGGGAAAGGGTGTGAGTTACCCCGCCAACGGCCGTCCGCCTCTGATGGCTCTCGGGCTGTCTAAGCTGACCTGGAGTTAAAGCCCACGGGAATGGGTGGGAATGGTGACTGCCAAGGGCCGAAGGCCCTGTCTGCGTGTGCTGCGCCCCGTTCCGGGGTGTAGGCACCCTCCCCCTCCTGGCGGAGCTCACGGGAAGTGGGAAGGAGTTTATGAGCACTTCCCCTGCACACTACCTGGTAGAGCAGCTCCCATCAGTTATCGCTTTTCTTATTTACTGTTGTGCTTACATCTTGCTGAGAGTATCTGCTTATCTCCAACCAAAGATCTCCAAAGCCCACTCGTCTTAGCACTTTCTCAGTACACAAAACATATTTTGCTGAAATTACAGGAGTCTCGAGCCAGCCCAGAGAAAATATGAAAAGAGGAGCAAGACCGTTCCTCTCGCTGCCCCGTCAGACGGCAGGGCACGCACAGCCGGCGTCGTTGCCTGCTTTCTGCAGCTGGAGGGCCGGGCGGCACCAGCAGAGCTGAGCAGTCGGCTTGCCCATCTCCATGCTGCCCGTTTGGAGACAGTGAAGAGTTCTTACACGTTTGCTCATCTCAGGGAGTAAGGACACCTTTAAAATGCTGTGGTCATCAGACAAAACAGAATAAATCTCACATCTGGAAGAACACCCTAAGATGCATCAGGATTGCAATGGTGGCACCAAGGTTGCGGTTGAGGGCACCTGAGGGCACTGGCGGCCGCCGGTGACACCTCTTCTGTCTGATCTGACTACTTGTAGTTCTTTCTGACGACTGCTCTGGTGGTTGCCTTTTTTCCAGTCATAGACCATCCACCCTGGGCCTCTGTTTTGTTTTCTGTAGAACCATGAGTACGGCCAAGGCAGAGGCGTGAGGGAGCCCAAAACCTGTGGAGGCGGACAGAGAATCAGGGGTCTCTGGACGCCCAAAGCTGGACACTGAGCTGGGCTAAGCCGAGGGATGCTTTTCTCCCAGGCAGGGATTGAGGAACCATCCTCTGTGCTTATATAACCTGTGGGTTATGCCATCAGTTTACTGCACAGGATATTAACCCTGGTGTTCGTAGGGTTTGTGGATAGAGTTTGGGGCGTTGGGGGGGGGGTCTGTAAATTTCAAAGGGAAACATTTGCATCTCTATTTTCACTGATTTCTAATTAATATTTAACAGTTCCTTCGATTATAAATAAAGGTAACAACCCACAGTAGTATGAGTCATACCCATGACTTTGTCACTAGTAGAAATCATAGACATTTTCTGCCCACATTTTGTGCAGATCTTGCAAAGTAACAATTATGCTTCTCACTGCTTTGCAGTCAAAGCCAGCCTACATGTGTGCTAATAAATACATATATAACTGTCCCTTGAATTATTTTAAGATATTTTAATAGCTGATTTCAGTGTAGTCCATTTTCTGTGTAATCTTATGTTTTCATTTTGTGCTTTTATAAGCATTTTTCTGAGAAGGGAAGATGGTTTCATTACACTGATACCAAAAAGAGGATAACTCTGCTTCAGTGGGTCATGACCAGCACTGTTCTATTTATTTTTAATCGTACTCACGGCTACTGTTTACCACAATGATGTGGTAAGGATACACAGCTGGATCAGAAGGGAACCCGTGTGCACGTCTCCTCGTGGTGTCTCCTCCCAGGACTGAGCACACCGCACACGCTCTCCCCCAAGCAGGGACAGTGCAGCCACACACGTGTCCCCTTTCTACTCCGAGCAGCCTGCAGAAACTCAGTGCCCAAGATCATTATGTGGGGCCAGCACTATTTTAAATGAAAGAGAATAGAACGGAGGATAACTTATTAGAAGCACAAAGTAAAGATAACCATTGTTTTATGAAACTTTGGTTTTAGTTATGTGTGTATACATATGTTCTGGTTGTACTGTAAAATGTTGCTTTTCCTGGGGACTAAAGGCAAAGTTAGAAAACAGGCTAAAGCCTGAGAGGGGAATACATGCCTTTCTTCTATGGGTTCACAATCTCTCATCTAAAATCCTTGGGGCCAGATGTTTTTCAGAATTCGGAATATTTTGTTTTTGTCTTGTTTTTAGTTGGGATATAGTTGCTTTACAATGTTGTGTTGGCTTCTGCTGTGCAAGGAAGAGGGTCAGCTCCGTGCACACATGTACCCCTCCACTCTCACCTCCCTGCCCTGTGCCCCGCCGGCTCCGTCAGCACGGAGCCCTGAGCTGAGCGACTATGTCGTGCAGCGGCTCCCCACGGCCATCTGTTTCACACATGGGAGTGTGTGTCTGTCAGGCCCCAGCTCCCAGATCACCCGCCCTCCCCTCGTGTCCGCGTGCCAGTTCTGTACATCTTCATCCCCATTCCAGCCCCACAGATAGGTTCATCTGTACCATGCTTCTAGATTCCATATATATATGCGTTAATGTCTTTCTCTTTCTGACTTACATGGACTTTAGGAAGATAATACAATGAATCATCCGTATATTATATAAGATCCAGAAGAGCCATGGCAGCCCCTGTAATCAAGTATATTAATGAATCTGTTCCCTTCAATGAAACACACGAATCTTCATGCTAAAGAGGAGAAGAATCAGAGCAGCCTGACATTAGTTCAGGCCGGCTTTTTCTGTCAAATGAATGATACACAGCACTTGTTTCTGGAGCATTGTGGGTTTTGGAATGGTGAGTCAGGGAAAGAGAACTCAGGAATTCCCCTTTATTTGACCACTTAATGATTGAGGGTAGGGGAGGATAGGGATTCAGTGTTTTTCATGATAATTTTTGACATCCCCTTATCTTCCTGTAATTACTTTTGACCTGTCCATAGGTTTTTTTTAAATGACTTTTTGTTTTTGATGTGGGCCATTTTACTGAGTCTGTTACAGTGTTGCTTCTGTTTTGTGGTTTGGGTTGTTTTGGCCATGAGGCATGTGGGGTCTTTGCTCCCTGACCAGGGAAGACAACGTCTTAACCATTGGACCACCAGCCTAGACAAGAAGTCCTAGACTTGTCCATAGTTTAATACTCTCTTTATATCCTCCTTCTTGTTATATGTTTAGTTCGGTTATTTTTTCTAAGGCAGCAAAAAGTTTTTTAAAAAGTAAACTATTTTAACCATAATTTTTTGCCAAAATATGTCATGCTTTTCTATTGCATCTTCCTTTAAGGATGGTATATTAGATGTTATTCCCCATAAATACACCAAAGTCCTCATCCCCTTAAGGAAAATACCTTTGGCACCATAATTCTAACACCAGTTCTGATGTGTGGGGTTGTGGGGTGTAAATCCACTGAACTCTACACTTTTAAAAGATGGTACTATAATGTACATATATCAAAATGCACAGATCTGAAATATTAATTCAGTATGTTTTTACCTAGACTTGCAACTACACAACCTGCACCTAAATCAACACTGGAGTATTTCTTTCACGCCTGAAGTTCTCTGGTGTCCTGTTCCCCAGGACACACTGTTCCCCACTTTTCTGACTTCAGTCACCATAGACTTAGTTTTACCCATTCTTGAACTTCATATAAATAGAGTCATACAACAGGTACTCCTTCGTGTCTGACAGTTTCACTCAAGATCATGTTTTTGAGATTCATCCATTTTGTAGCCATAGTTCATTCCTTTGTATTGTTTACATTCCATTGTATGAATATACCAGCATTTATTTATCCATTCCACTTTGATAAACATTTAGTTGTTTCTGGTTTTCAGCTATTATGAATAAAACTTCTATGTTCAAGTTTTTTGTGTCTGTGTGTTTCCATAGTTCTTGGGTAAATTCCTAGGAATGGAATGCTGGGGTACAAGGTAGGTGTATACTTAAGTCTATGAGAAACTGCTAAATAGTTTTACAAAGTGGTTGTATCATTTCCCACTGATGGTGGATAAGAGTTCCAACTGCTCTCTACCATTGACAGCACTTGGTATTTTCAGACTTTCTGAAAGATGTCTATTTGTAATTCTGTGTATATCAATAAAAATTTTTTAGGATTAAATAAAAACTAAAAATGATGGTTGTTGTATCTAATGCAAAATCTCTGAAATTTTACATAAATAACCTGGATGTTTAAAAAAATGTTTTACTTTTGGTTGGGCTGGGTCTTTGTTGCTGCACTTAGACTTTCTCTAGCTGCAGTGAGGGGGACTGCTCTTTATTGTGGCAACAGGCTTCTCAAGGCGGCGGCGGCGGCGGCTTCTCTCCCTGCAGAGCAGGGGCCCAAGGCGCAGGGGCTTCAGTGGTTGCAGTGTGCAGACTCTAGGGCATCCAGACTTCGCTAGTTGTGGCTCACAGGCTTTAGTTGCCAGAGGGGTGTGGAATCTTCCCAGAGCAGAGACTGAACCAGTGTTCCTTGCATTGCAAGGTGGATCCTTATCCGCTGTACCACCAGGGAAGTCCTGGATGGTTTATAAACCTAGGCTAGGAATCCAAGAACTTGAATGTTGTCCTATTTAATTGATGAGTTTTTATTTTACACTGTATAGAAATATTAAGAGAGTAAGTCTTAGAGTTGGTTGGGAAATATTGTTTCTGAAGAAAAGATCTCCCTGAAGTTTCCTTGAGAAATCTTTTTCTCAAGGAGGGTGGGGGGGAGGGGAGTTGGTGGATATAATTGTACTACAATGTTGCATTAGTTTCTGTTATACAGCAGTGTGAATCAGCTATGTGTATATACATATCTCCTCCCTTTTCTTGAGAAATTTTTTCATCTCTATCTGCCTTTTGGTTTTGTTAAGTGGACTTAATTAATCATAATTCAGAATATTTTGGTAGGAGTTAATCATAATTCAGGATCTTTTGGTAGGAGCTCATTGCCTTTCTTTTTCTTTCACATTTCAGAGCATAAATGCCCAGTGGATGAGCGGGAGCAGTTGGAAGAAACCTTGCCACTGATTTTGGGGCTCATCCTGGGCCTCGTCATTGTGGTCACGCTGGTGATTTACCACATCCACCACAAGATGACTGCCAACCAGGTCCAGATCCCGAGGGACCGGTCCCAATATAAGCACATGGGCTAGAGGCCGCTGGGCAGACAGCCTGCAGCTGATCCAGCCAGGGAAACAGCGGCACTTCCCGCCTGCACGTGGGATACACCAACATAGCTCCAGGCACACTGACTCGGGTACGCAAGGCTTGCTTGGCCTGCATCCACGCTCACACCTGGGATGGGGGGGTTCTTCTGGATTCATGGGGTGAATGACATAGCCCTTCCATGCTGAGAAGTGGGAAGGGTAGGGTCAGCCAGCTTTCATGCTTGTGGTGGCTTGGCTTTGACTGTCCAAGGAGCAACACATACAACTCAGAGGAATATCTGGCTCTGAAGTGTAAGGACTGGAACCACAGTTCTTTTGGAAAGACACCCCTTAAGGTTCAAGAGGAACATTGGATGCTTTGCTCCCTTGAACACAGATGGCTTATCCTATACTATCGTCAGCACACACAAAATACAGCCTCATGCTCCCTGCAGCAAGATCCCTGAATGTGACCCATGCTTCTGGCTGGCGTTCTGCATGTCTCGTGATTGTCTCGGGAATGTTTCACTGCTCCCTGCACCCAGCGAATTCACAGCACAAGAGCCTGTTTAATGTAACTATGCAGAGTGGTTTGGACTTTGTAGTATGTCAGGTCCAGGTATGGGGTCCTGAAGAATCAGTCCATGTGAGCTTGTCCCTCAAAATGAATTAAAACACACCACTGTTTAGTGTCTGGCTGCTCTCTTGAAACAAGACGACAAAACCAGAAATGGCTTGTGTGGCATCTACAGGAGAGAGGGGGATGATGAAGACGGGCTTTTCATTCCTGCAAGAGGGAAAGCCAAGAAAGAGCAGGAAGATAACAGCAGGGACGGGGGAGTTGGCTTTTCCAGGTGAAAACCATGGACTTGTTTTGGCAAATATAAGTAGTTTTAATGATGGCGCCTCTTCACTTGATCTTACCTAAAAGTCCGAGAAGTGATGATAATGGCACCTCTTGAATGGTTGGGCTAATAAGGTTTCTGATGTTTCTTGATCTTGAGTCTGGCATTTCATTTTGTATTAAAAAGCTGGATTGAACATAGTAGCTTGGACTGAGTTTTGAGATAAAATGTAGCCTACTGAATTCCTTAGAGAAAGGTATATAGTTTGGATTTCATCCACCTCCTAAATAATCATTTTCCAGTTCTGAGCGAGAAGAGGGAGATCCTCTTCTCTGGTGTTAGGGTGGGGATCCCTTAAGCCCCTTAAAAACCACCCCCACACTAGAGGCAGCTTGTGCGTTTTCTCCCCAAGTCTTCACCTGTTGACAGTAGCACATCTTTAGTATTCCATCATCCCAGCAAATTTTGGTAAGTATTGATCAGCTGCTGTCCTCTGACCTGTTCGTTTCCTGCTCTGTCAGCCTCAGTCTTTCCCTGCATGATCTCTTTTCACTGTCTGCCTGGTACCAGAGGAACAAGCCCTGATTCCTTATAAAAGCTGCATGTTGCACAAAGAAATGGAGAAGACCCTGGTGCTGGTGGATGCCTTCCCCCCACCCCCAGTTCACTCCACTCCCTCATCTGTGATGGGATGGACTCCTGTCCCCCCAGTTCACTCCACTCCCTCATCTGTGATGGGGTGGCACCTGCCCCCCCAGTTCACTCCACTCCCTCATCTGTGATGGGATGGACTCCTGCCCCCCAGTTCACTCCACTCCCTCATCTGTGATGGGGTGGCGCCTGCCCCCCCAGTTCACTCCACTCCCTCATCTGTGATGAGATGGACTCCTGCCCCCCAGTTCACTCCACTCCCTCATCTGTGACGGGGTGGCGCCTGCCCCCCAGTTCACTCCACTCCCTCATCTGTGATGGGGTGACGCCTGCCCCCCTAGTTGACTCCACTCCCTCATCTGTGATGGGGTGGACACCTGCCCATCCCGGTTCACTCCTTTTTCCATCATTTGTGACTAGCTCACCCTCCATGCCCCAAACATGACAAGCTCTTTTCTTTTCAGCATCTCATGTATTTTTAAGAAATTTCCTTTTTATCTGGAACCATCAAAGGATTTGGGGAAAAATAGGCACTTAAATGTATCCATGAGTGACCTTTTCTTTCTGGAACCTCTTTAGAAAACTTTTTAAATCTTTTCAGAGTGGTATTTCTGAAAACTCCTATTTACATAATTTGCTTTAATCCATTTTTACAAAAGTAAAATTGTATTTTTCAAAAAAATTTTACTTTCACAAAACATAGGATTCATTACTAGCTTTGGAATTGTCATTCATTCATTCATTCATTCAGCTAGATGTCCATCAGCAGAGAAATGGATAAGAAAGCTGTGGTACATATCCACAATGGAATATTACTCAACTATGAAAAAGAATACATTTGAATCAGTTCTAATGAGGTGGATGAAACTGGAGCCTATTATATAGAGTGAAGTAAGCCAGAAAGAAAAACGCCAATACAGTATACTAACACATATATACAGAATTTAGAAAGATGGTAGTGATAACCCTATATGCAAGACAGTAAAAGAGACACAGATGTATAGAACAGTCTTTTGGACTCTGTGGGAGAAGGTGAGGGTGGGATGATCTGAGAGAACAGCATTGAAACATGTATATTATCATATATGAAACAACAAATGTTTTTTGAGCACCTACTGAGTGCAGGCTCAATGCTGGGTATGCAATAGTCAACTTGACAACTGGGAGTCTCTACAGGGGAAGGTTTAACAAGAAAGCATGCATACACACAGATCATTCGACACAGAACAAGGTACCTTAGCACTTTTCAAAGGGTTGCCACATGGTTACATCCCTATGTCTAAGCTAATTAAATCTTTCTGGAATCCAAATTTCTTAATTTTCAAAATTGAGTGATTTATTTCTACCAGTGATATGTAGTTTGTACAAAAAGCCAGGACCATTACTGTTATTATTAATTGTGGCATCTTTATCTAGCAGTCCTAAAATTAAGTCTCAAGTTCAGCCTAATTTCTTCACCTTATTTTTCTCAGCCCTTTTAAAATCTTCATTATCAGATAAGCAAAATAAAGGGGGGCCCTCCTGATGAGGGCAGGGGTGGTGGTCTCTGGGTGGACAAGGCAAGGTGCCCAGAGATATGACTCACGTCCATTGCCATTGTTCTGCATTTTGCCAAGGCTCCTGCGGCAGGAACAAGTTAGGGCAGAGGCTTGTCTATCTGCATTGCTTCCTAGGCTCAGAAACAGGAAAGAAAACAACAGCTAAACCACAGATGCTCAATTACCCCTTTAACCGTCATTTTTCTTTTTCACTGGAGTTTTAAACACAAATGCCTCCGGGCACAAAAGGATGCTGTGTCTGGTTGCTGGTCTGTCAGCCTGTAAAAGCCAGGCCATATGAAACATATGCATGTTTCTCAGGAGAAGAGAGAGTTTAATTTCAATTCTGAGCCTGGTTCTTTGCGAGGTTCCACCCTTCTTGGGAAATAGCTCCAAGTGAATCTGCCTCAGGGGCCAGGGAGACTGTTCTCCAGCCTGAGAAATTCCTCTAAATTGTAATCCCTCTCTTCTCGCCAATTCCCCAGTCTTCCCACTAATAAAGACTTGGCAAATCCATATGGATGGGGGAGACACCAGAGCTATGAGGATGGAGAAGTGGAAGGGGCGGTGGCGGGCATGACCTGCAGCGTGTGGTGGAGGCAGCGTGCAGCGGGGTGTTTCATGGGGCAGGGTCGTCCAGGGTGGCGTTGGGTACAAGCACCTCCTTGGAACAAACACCCCAGCAACCTGAGCCAGACAGACACGGCTTTCCATCTGTGTCTCAAAGTGCAACTGGCAAGCAGCCTGCAACAGAATCATCCCTGAGGGTGCTGAAAAACGGCAGTTCTAGGGCATCCAACCAGTGACTGAGAATCTCCATGCTGAGACCCTGGAATTGGTAGTTTGAGTATTTGCTCTCTCCAGGTAATTCGGATGCAGCAGTATGAAAACTTCTGGTTAACAACAACAACAACAGAAACAGTTAGCTACCAGTATACTTGCAACACTAGCCAAATTATCTGGCTTCTCTGTGTTCATTTTCTCCTCTGCAAGTGGAGCTCACTGCTCCCTGCTTGCAAAGCTGTTTGAGGGAACACAACAGGACATTTACGTCCTCAGCACAGCACTCACACTGGAAATGCTCCCCTGGGCTTGCTAGGTGGCTCAGGGGTAAAGAATCCACCTGCCAATGCAGGACACCCAGGGAAGTTGAGTTTGATCCCTGGATCGGGAATATCCCCTGGGAGAGGAAATGGCAACCCACTCAGTATCCTTGCCTGAAAAATCCTATGGACAGAGTAGCCTGGTGGGCTACAATCCACTGGGTTGGCAAAGAGTCAGACACGACTGAGCTAGAATGACATTCTTCTAGCATCCTTCTTAACATGTGTGTACAAATTTTACCAGCTATACACATTCACAAATGACCCCAAAAGACCAATACAGGGTTTTGTTTCTTTAACCTGGCATCCAGTGTTCTATGTCAGTTTATTTTGAATTCAGAGAATGTTCCTATGCAGGGATTCTCTCCACTCCCATCCCAGAGAACTGCTCAGGAGGTTGTCAGTTTGGGGGAGATAGTCGGGGTCCATGATCTTAGATGAGAAAGAAAATTGCACTTCCAGTTTTACTAGCCTTAAATGAAAGGTAGCATTTCCTTCAATTATGAACATAGGTACCAAATCACCATAATATAAGCATCACCTGATTATGTGTCTTCAGCAGAAATCACCATGTTACACTTATTGGAGATGCATCCAAAAATCATTTATATTTCTTGTTTGAAATGATAGTAGTTATTAGACCCATCACAAATCTTGTTATTTAATACATTATAACCATGACAAAAAATATGTTTTGATAACTGTGCTTTAATTGATTTACTTTGTAAGTCTATGTATTTTATTCACTTTAAAACATTTCCTGAGGAGTCCTTAGGCTTCTGACAGCCAAGAGGGTCCAGAGTGCAAAATTAGGCTAAGAACTCCAGGGCTGATGGCTACTTAAGTTGTCATTTCAAAAACAGTGCCTGTAAGTATAAACTGAGTCACTTTGCTATATAGCAGAGATTGCCACAATGTTGAAAACCAACTATACTTCAGTAAAAATAAATACATAAATAAATAAGGTGAGAGAACCTGTCAGGTTGTCTGCTGGGGAAGGAGTCACAAAGGCTCGTGTGACAAATGAAATGACAATTATTGGCACTAGTCCTGTGTTTTGTAGACCCTGACCTGGGTGTTGGGTGTGTGTGGTCTATTCAGGCATCATGATTCATGTACTGTCACCAACCAAGCAACTGGGACTTGGTTGGGCTCCATTAAGGTGACTGTACATGACCTCGCCATCCTTTCTACCTTTAATTTTTTCCACAATGCTGTCAGTGATGATGAGACATAAATATCAAAGCATTTGCCATGTAGGTAAAACTTTCAGGATAAGGAATCTCTTTGCTTTTAAAACGGTGTATTTTGGTCCATAAATCAGGAACCCTTCAACTTTCTCCAGTCCCCTTTTTGTCCTTCATCAGATCTATTTACGTAGATGTTGGCAGGGTTGCACCCACATTCCCTTGGCCCTTCCTGGAAATGTTTGCTGATAATTTCTGTACATGCCCACAGTTTTCTGTGTCTCCCTCCCTCCTTGTTAGAGGGAACAAGCTTTCTCCATATACAGGGCAAGATGGAAATTCTGGGGGATGATGCCCGAGAAGCAGCTCTCAAGCAGCGAGGGATAGGAAATGGTGGATAAATGCTCCAGCCTCTTCGCCACTAGAAGGATGATCCTGGAGCATCTCTTCCAGAAGGTCTCTGGCAGGATAGAGCCCCAGGCACCCACAGTGGTGAGCTAGCCATTAGTTCACACCTGTTTTTCAAACCTCTGTCCCCTCTTGTTCTCACCTCCACACTCCGCCATATCGAGTGAGCTTCCTGGGGTCATCCCTCAGGAAGTAATTATATGTGCATCTTTGTCTTGGATTCTCCTTCTGTCAGAATCCATGCTAAGGTCATCTATTCTCTTGATTCAGAGTACACACATTTCAAGACTTCTGTTGATAGGTTTGCTGCACAATCTGGACGAGTGCTATATTGTCTCCCTTTCACAGAACTGCTCCTGCTAGTACGTTTTGTACCTGCTTCAGAGCAAATCCATCTTCTCTCTGCCTGAAATCTCATTACCGTTTCTTTGATGACCTAGTGATAGTCATTGGGTTGATTTGAGCAGAGTCTGAACTCACTGAGTTGATAACTTCATGGAATGATTTTATTTTTCCAGTAATTGCTTCTGAGTGTGTTCTTCCCAGTGGATAAAGGGAACACACAATAACTCAGCCTGATTCTATCTGTCTAAGCCATTAAAAAAGACAATCTCATGTGAATTCAAAATAACACCCCTTTCCTTTGCTCAGGCTAAGCTTGCAGTGGAGAAAGAGACAGAAGTAGCAATGCATAGCATAGGTAGTGGCGGGAAACATGGTGTGCTTTCTTATTCTTTCTTTCTTCTGAGTCCCTCCCCCAAATCAAATCTCTTGCTAACTCACGGCTCAAACTTATGGGGAGACGTCAGGTGGGGAGCGTTCGGTAACACAGCTGGCTGCAATCAGCTCCCTCAGAGATGCTGTTGGAGGAAGGTGAGATGCCTGAATCTCATTTGTGTCTGCCTGAAGACAGCCTCTGCTTTTGGAGTGGTCCTGGTGTAGATGACATATGTGGTTTTAGAGTAATATTCAGCTCCTCCCCAGCACCTGCACACCATAGGGAAGCAGCCACGGATGTCCCTGGTGGTCCAGTGGTTGAGAATCCAATTGCCAGGACAGGGACACAGGTTCAATCCCCAGGCCAGGATGATTCCACATGCCATGGGGCAACTAAGCCCGCGTGCCACAGCTATTCAGGCCATGCTCCAGAGCCTGCGAGCTGCAACTACTCCCGCATGCTGCAACTGCTGAGGCCACCACAAGAAGAAGCCTGCGTCCTGCACCTAAAGAGTAGCCCCTCTAGCCCCAACTAGAGGAAGCCCATGTGTGGCAACAAAGACAACACAGCCACAAACAAAACAGACAAATAAAAAATGGGGAAAAGGAAAAGCAGCCGTATTTTCCTTTGATCCCCGCATGGTGCATGCCTCCAATGCCCTCGCCAAGTTGGGCTCCACCCCATTTCTTAGTTAAGCGCTGGCCATGCGCCCTGCTCCCTCTCCACACGCCCTCGGAGCCAGAGGAAATGGGTGTCTTCTATGCCCGCCAAGGGCTTCAGGGACCTGCCTGGGGAAGGTTGCTTCCATCTTTCTCTTCCCAGGCACACAATATATACTATCCAGAGGTCTCATCCTGAGTCTCAGGCTACGTATGTCCTGAGGGTTTTCACTTTCTGAAATTTCCAGATGAGAAATGAACTCTTTATGTATCAGCATCCCTCCCAACTTCATGGGACAAATGCTAACGTCTCCCCTGTCATCAAGTGTAGGAGGGGTCCCAACACTCGCTTTCAGTCTCCTGGAGAGCGTCTCTGATCCAGAACAACCTCCTGATTATGTCTTTTGTGGGTAAAAGCATTCAGATCAGTCCAGCATCTTTGGAACAAGAGAGGTAGAGTAGGACTCTTTGGCCATGAATCTAGCTTTCCTTGAAGTTAGCCTTCCAGAATTAAATTAATTTTCTTCATAGCAGTATCTGCATTTTTATCTTACAATGTTTGTAACCTCTGGGGATAGGAATGTTTATCTGTGGTTCATGTCAATGTGATATTACATATAATTTTATAGCAACTCATTTGCATTCCCCAAGATCATAAAGACATCTTTCTTGTCACTCAAGAAACATATTCAGGAAATCACTAGAGTTTACAATGACACAGTGGAAAAAAAGGCAAACATTTATTTTTATTTGCAAGAGCAGTTTCTGCCAATAGTTAGTGCTCACAAAACATTTTAAGCTACAGTAACTTTTGGTAAACTCAATGAAGACTTTAGAAAAGACCCAGTGATAAGAAAATTACAGAAAAATCTCCATTACACTGTTGAAAATGTTTGGAATCCAAAATCCACTATTTTCTGCAATGGTTTTTAATATTTGCTCTGGTTAAAAAAAGATTTTCTTTTTGTTTCCTTTCTACTTCTACATAGTCCTGGTTAACTGAATACAATCTCTTCCATATCTGCCATTTTCTGGATTTAGATTATTTTCATTCTTACACCCTTATATTAATATTTTAATATTTTACATAAAACATTGAATGTGTTGTGTTTTATGAAAAAAATTGTAGATCCTATTTATGATGAGGCATTTCCAGTTTAGGGAAAAACTGAAAATCTAAACAGTAGAAAGTCATTTTATGCCTTTTTTTCCTTTTTAGCTATAATAAATAATTAGCAACCTATTAATTACAAACATTCTTAATTAGGCTTAGGGTAACCAGAGCATTTTCAAAATTTTAAATTCATGTTCCTTACAGTATGTGAAGTCATTAAGAAAAGCCTCTGGTTTTCCAGTTTGGTAACAAATGGCTTTTGTTTGATGCAGAATTAATAGAAACTAATGATGACTATGTAGCTTTTCCAGAGTTTTAAAGGCAAATCTATATTGGCCTACAGTTAACATGCAAATTCTTCCAACAAGCAACACAAAATGTATTGTAGTAGTCATTCATGTTTATCAACATTCAAGAAGATCTAGTCAGCAGCACAACTCTCCTATGTCAGGAACACATAACATGGTCACAACTGAATTCAGATCACACCTGGGAAAAACCCCCTTTTCCTAATGCATCCTCTAGAGTGCAGACTTCCAGTATGGTACAGAAACAGTAGGAATGAATACTGCGGTGCGAAGGTAAGCACAGACAAGAGTTTGGTATGCCAGCATACAGAGCTTTAACAACAGCGACGAACAAAACCAAACACCTTGCCCTGTTCTCTCTCTTTCCTTCTGTGAGACTAGAATTCTCAGTCTTCTAGCAACATTCAATTCAGGGGATGAAGTCCAAACGCCCGAGCACTGCGGCGCTGAATCAAGATGGCGAAGGGGCGGAACGTGGAGCTCAGCCCCTCCCACAGACACATCAAACCATCCTAGCGCTGAAACTGCTCCTTGGAGGGGAGATTTGGCCACAAAGGGACGTCATACTCACTTAAGAGAAGGTTCTAGGGGAAACACACTGCCTGCAAAAGATGGTTTACTACTACTAAGAGGTTTGAAGGAAAATGTGATTTTTCAAAATATTTAGTTTTCTCCCAAGGAATATTTCTGGCGGTATACCGTGGCTCAAATTTCACTGCATTGTTTTTGGTTGGATAAATGAAATGTGCACCCACTCCCATCACCATCACTCTTAAGTCTTCTTCCAACACATAAGACACTTGTTAAGATAAGAAAGATATTCTACTAAAGCTGACGGTGATTGAGAGTCATTCAGTACTCAAAGTTCCTAAAGAGTTGTTGGTTCTCTGAAAGGGATAAAAAAGTAGGAAAGACTTTTTTGAAACTCTTGCTAGTAAACAGGTATTACTTCAACTGATACAATGGCTACGTGACATCAAAGTACTATAAATTATCAAAACTATTGTACAGAAAAATTACAAATTCATTGCAAAATACATTACACTGCTACCATTAAGAAAAAAGTGCTTTTTGTTTTCCTTTCTTTTTTTTTTGCCAGAAAAGTATTCTTTCAATATAGAAAATCCTATGCATTACCCTGCATGTGGCTAGGATATACCATAAGAGAGTTTGTACTGAGTCCTCCTGATTTGCTGGATGAAAGGCTGAAAAATATAATAATGACTTATTAAAGCCATGTCCCAAATGACGGTGCCAGCTGTCAGTGGAGAGATGCCTGCTTCAGACACAAGAGGACGCGCTGGCCTGCCGAGCCCGTCCGTCAGCTGGTCTGGGTCCCCGGCTCCCCTTGCGGTCTCCTGAGCAGGCCTCGCAGCCTCGTCTCGCGTTCGCCTCTGCGACTCTTGCGCTCAGTGATGCCGGTGCTGCCTCATGAGAGGAACGATGCAGGACGGCGGCCCCGCCAGCTTCAGGAACGGGTGTCTGAGGAGCTGCTGCGCTGTGGCCCTCTGAGAAGGCTCCCGCACCAGCATCAGGTCTAGGAATGCCCGCAGCACCGAGGAGACCTGCGGGGACACAAGACGACCTCCTGAGCACTAACGCCGAGACCCGACGCGGCCCCTAACGTGGCCTCGAGCAAACGCCCAGCAAAGACTTCCTCCGACAACGCCCAAGTCCAGAAAGGCAGCTTGAAGAGAAAGAGGTTACGGGAGCAAAAGCAGGCATTGCCTTTCTTAACACATGCTGTTTTCCTTGTCTTTTTCAAACCTGAAATAATAGGAGTAAGTGAAGGTACAACAAAGATATGTTCTAAATAAGAGACAATAACAGCTTTATGATGCACCCACTATGTTCAGATGATGGTCACACACATTTGATGAACAGTGTTATAAACATGCAGTGAGTTTTATTTTTTTATTTTTCTAACCACGCAACCGTCTAAGATTTGTGCAATTCCTTTTTTAAAAAAAGGAAGATTTTTTTTGATGTGGACCACTTTTCAAGTCTTTATTGAATTGGTTACACTATTGCTTCTGTTTTATGCTTTTTTATTTTTCTGGCCTCACGGCATGGAGGATCTTAGCTCCCAGATCAGGGATCAAACCCACAACCCAGGCATTGGAAGGGAAGTCTTAACCACTGGACTGGCAGGGAAGTTCCCGAATTCCTTTCTTGAAGAGAAACAAATTTCCCTAAGGAATCTGACAACAGAGAGCATCTGTCCTTTAGTTTCTTGTAATTTACTTTTTTGCAGTATAGCTTATGTACATTCAAGTACACAAAAAGCATATGTTTTACAGCAGTTCTTTAAAACACACACACACACACACACACACACATATGTTCCATACTCCTACCCAGGTTCCCTGGGTCGAGAAGGTCCCCTGGAGGAGGGCATGGCAACCCACTCCAGTATTCTTGCCTGGGAAATCCCATGCACAGAGCAGCCTGGTGGGCTACAGTCCGTGGGGTCGCAAAGAGTCAGACACGACTGAGCAACCCATTATTTAAAGTGTCCAGTGTTGTAAAATGTTCAGGCTCTTGTTCAATCCAAGCAGCTTCCCCGCTTTGTTGCAGGTCCACCCAGCCTACATGAGTGATTCTCCAGAGCTCTTGCCTAAGGTGTAGGGATGAGGGAAAAGGAGATGCCACTACAAACAATTCTCTCCCTCTCAGTATCTGGGGGGCAGTGGGATGGTCGGCACTTTCAGTGCTCATCTGTGGAAACAGCTCTCTCAGCAAGCCCTGCCCCACTGGCGGCCGCACAGAGGTGGTTCTTCGACTTAGCATCGTTTTTTCTGAGCTTGGCTCTGCTTGATGATGCCTGGAAACCAGAAAAGACCCTCGCTGGTTCCCTCACCATGTTGCTCATTGCCCTGTACTATTGAGCCCCTGTCCACCCTCTGACATGCCTCATCCTTCACCTTGCTCACTTTGCTCTGGCTGAGGCTCTTCAAACTGCTCCTCCCTATACCTGGGATGTTTTTATCCCAGATCTTTGCATGACTTGCTCCTTTTTGCCAATCAGGCTCCAGTCCCTTGAAAGGACTTCCTTCAACCCTCAGCCAAAACTAACTCCCAACTCCTTTTCTGCCCCCCTCAGTCACATCACAGTGTTTTATTCATTTCCTGGCATGTACTACTCTCTAAAATTATTTTGATCATCCATTTGTGTTATCTGCTTCTCCAGCTAGAACGAAACTCCTCTGAGAGTCAGGAAATGTGGGGCTTTGAGCTGGGATGTCCCAGTTATTAGAACACTCCCCAGCGTGTCTTAAATTCTCAGTGCGGAAGTGCTAAGAGACGCCCACCCATAGGAGAGGAGTTCATGTACCCAGTTTCACAGAGGAGCTTCAGAGAGGGAGGGGCAGACTCACTGACCCAAGGGACTGAATGAGATGGGCAGAGACCTGGACTCAGTAACTAACTCCGTAGCAGACAGCTGGTGAGAAGCTACCACCGCAGAGAGACTGCAGTCTGCTGCCCGGCGACGGCCGAAGGGTGAGTGGGGGTGGCAGGGAGGAGAAAGGGGAAGAGGGCACGTGTACACTTAGAGCTGGTGCATGATGCTGGACAGCGGAAGCTAACAGAGCACTTCAAAGTGACTAAAAAGCAAATTAAAAAGCAAAACAAGGTCCATGCCCAGAAACCAGGATCTACTCCCAGATGGGATGTGCCAGGCTTTAACACTCCAGACAGAGGGAAAAATCAAAGAGCGACGTGGAGTTTCAGCAGTGGATGCTGCTTCTCACCTTGTGCAGGTCCTTCACTCTTGGAGGTAAACTGTCCCGGATCCGCCGCATGGCCTGGAGGGGGGGCTCATTGAAGTAGGGGGGCTCGCCATCAATCATCTCGATCACCATGATTCCAAGGGACCAGATGTCCACCTGTTAGGCACAGTGATTATCTCAGGCAAAGAGAACTTTCTGAAAGGCTGAGTATGGCCAGGGAACCCAGTAGATTCATACTCATTCATAAATTTATATGGTATTTGTAACTTCTCAAAATCTACAATTCAGATTTATAGGCTGAACAGTTGAGTGACCACGTGTTTGCTACTGGTCTTCACCTGCTTTTTAAAGGCAACTTCAGTGAAGATTCTGACCATAAGGTACATGTGAATGTCTTACCACTCTTAAATTCAGAACCTTTAAAAAAATCCTGTTAACTTAGGTGGTTCACAGTTTATCAGGCCAGATGAGAAAACCATTCAAAGTTTTATGTTACAAACAGAGAAGAAAATTACATTTAAACCATAAAAAAATAAGAAAAGTTTTTGGCATATTCATAACAAACTCCAAAGAGCTACACTGCACAACACAATATATCCTGATTCTTTTATTAAGTTGATTTTTTAAGTTCTTTGCTGCCGTATTTAGGTTTTTCCCTTTGTGTTTTATCACTCTGAAGCAGTGTACACCAAACTGTATTCTGTAAAACCATTGTCAGGGACTGGAGGAAAGGAAAAAGAGAGATGACAAGCAATCCTTCCCGCTTAAAGAATGGGAAGTCAGGGCAATGAGGTGCCAGAGCTGCTATAAATTCCCAGGCCCTGGCAGCTCCCTCGTCCCTCATTACACCTCTTATCAGTTAGCTGCATTCCTGCCCTTGCCCAGAAGTGACCTCCCCGGAGAGCTGATGCTCTGGGGACCACGGTGAGATAAGCAAGAGGCGTACTTATCCGAGGGCAGCAGAGCAGCGAAGGAGGGTCAGCCTCCAGTCCGGCCGCTGTGCTCCGCTCACTGGTCCACGCCCCCTCCTCCGGCCGCCCGCCCAGGACCGCCCCCTGCAGCAGTGTGTGGACACGCCGTGCGCCCAGGCGAGCGTGCTGCGCGCCTCCCTGTATGCGCGTCTCAGAGCTTTAGTCACACTGCTCCCGCCCCCGAAGGCCTTCCTCCACTTCTGCCCCTCGTTTTCTGTATCCACACCTTGTCCCTTAATAGGTTAGGAGCAGGTGTGGGAGCAACTTAAGTGTCCATCAGCAGATGAATGGATAAAAAAAGACGTGGTATATATACAATGGAGTATTAGCCATAAAAAGGAATGAAATGCTACCATCTGCAACAGCACAGATGGACTTGGAAGGTATTATAAGTGAAGAAAGTCAGACAAAGACAAATACTGTATGGCATCACTTATGCGTGAAATCTAAAAAACGCAACAAACCAGTGAATAAAACAAAAAAGAACCAGACTAATAGAGAACAAACTTGTGGTTATAAGTGGGCAGAGGGAAGGAGGGAGGGGCAATAAGGGGACAGGAGAATTTAAAAAACAGAAGGTTACTATGGGATTATATGGAATCATATGTGTGAAATGCTTTGAAAATTATTAATTATAGAATTTAGAGAATTGTGTAATAAAAAAGACAATTTTTTTAATTTAAAAAAGTCAGTAACAACAAAAATAGATTGAGAGGTTATTTCCTTTCCAGAAGAAACAGAAATTGTGCTATGTTTTAAAATATATTGCAATATTCATATATGAATTTTTCCTATGGGAAAACATTATTTCTCACCCGAATATTCACCCCGATCTGTGGAGCTTTCTCTGACCCTGCATCCTGTGAACACACCTGCTCAGCTGTGGGTCTCCCGCCACTTTCCGGGTTGCCCTGGCCCTGGGGTCAGATGAGGGCTGGAGTGCCTTGCCCACTGCCCATGTGGGACCTACACACTGCCGGTCAATGCTGTCGTGACACCCCAAGGGTGGACAGACTCTCTTCTGGCACAACTTGCTCTGTGGAAAGCCTGGTGAATGGTGATCGCAAGTGGAGTTAAGTCATCAAGCTGGCTTTCTGGGGTCACTAACGAGCTCAGAACCCTTTCGTCTCAGCCAGGCCCTGCCCACTCCCCAGCAACCACATTGCCTCCTTACCTCTGTCCCATACGGCAGCCTGGAAATCACCTCGGGTGCCATCCAATAGGGGGTACCAACCAGAGATTTCCTCTTCGGCACCTCTTTGGAAACTTGGGCACAGAAACCAAAGTCAGACAGCTTGATCTGAAAAGGAAAGGAATGCAACAAACTAACCATTTAAAAACACTGGCTTCAACATTTGGGGCAAGATGGAGGGACCTAGAGATTTTCATACTAATGAAGTCAGAAAGAGAGAGACAAATATCATATGGTCTCACTTATCCATGGAACCCAGAACAAATGATACATGTGAACTTATCTCTGAAAAAGAAACAGACTCAGATATAGAGAACAGAGTTGTTGCCAGGCAAGGGGATGGGCAGATGGGGGTTTGGGATCAGCAGAGGCAAAGGGCGTGTGTAAGATGGACAAGCAGCAAGGTCCTGCGGCAGAGCACAGGGGCCTGAACTCAGCATCGTGACAATCCACAACGGAAGAGAATATGAAAAGGAATACACACACACACACATACACACACGTGCAATTGAACCACTCTGCCGAATAACCGAAATTAAGGCAACATTGTAAATCAACTATACTTCAATAAAATAAATCTTAAAAGTATACTGGCTTCAAAATGTGGAAATATAACAAAAGTTTCAGCTTCAAAGCAAAATCCTCTTATCATTCACAGGTCTTGGATGTATCAGCGGAGGGGCTCTCAGACCCTTTCGTTGGAAAAGCACAACCCATTTTAATGAAAAAAAGCTCTCATGGCTCCACCAGGACTGACTTTCAAATGTTTAACTCCTGCTGCTGATATCTTTTTATAAAATCATGAAATAATATAATATACCCAAAACAAGAACCTCATCAAAATTCAAGGCCAGTACTTCCATTTAATGTAAGAGATGATGCTTTAGTGCAAATAAACTGCTAGTCACAAAGCGAGTTTTGTACAAACTGCTACAGTTAGGTTTTTTCCCACTGAACACATTTGGATTTCTAAGATGATTCAAATAACCACCCTCATTTCTATGTTTGAATTATTGCAAGACCCCACTAGTAAAGGATGCTGGAACACCACTGTAGGCACAGGCTCCCCTTTTCTTTTGGTTTTCCTCCTCTCTTAGGATAACTCAAGTTGCCAAGGGAAATATGGGCATAAAAACTTGGTGTTAACAATTAGTTACTAGGAGTTCAAGGTGTTCAACTTAATTACCCATTGTGCATGCATATATGTTGTTTATTTTAGAGGTCATCCAAAAGGAAAACCCTGAGATTTCTTGCCCAGAGCTTTTAAGAATACTCTTAAGAATGCATTGCATCGTTAGGAACCCCGCCAGGTTATATATTCCAGGTGACCAGGATTCAGTTTATTTTTGGGAGGCTTGATTCCTGCTCATGATGACCTGATCTGATTGGAGAGGATTGTCACTTAGGATTATTGGTGATAATGGAATGCATTTAAAAAATGCTTCAGGCATTGGTTGGCAATGGTCATTTGAAGTGAAAATTGCCATAAATCAAAGGTATGGTCTCTAAGGCACAGATTCTCCCTTGATTCTCTTACATCTCTGAACTGTTTTCACATCTCTGAAGTGTTTTCAGCCTTTTTTTTCTGGCTGTCTCTGCTGCCCACACTGTAATACTGGGGCTTCCTGGAGTTCAGGTCCCATCGCTCACCTCTTCTCTTTTTATGTGCTCTTGCCAGATACTTTTTTCCCCTCCCAGGCTTAATGAAGATTTCTCTCCTTCATTCTAAACCTACACATCCATCCAGTATATGTTTCTACATGGAGTTAATTCTTGTGAAGGGTGTAAGGTCCACGTCTAGATTTATTTTTTGAGCATGTGGATATCCAGTTGTTCCAGCACCATTTGTTGAAAAGACAGTCTTTGCTCCATTGTGTTGTCTTCAGTCTTGTCTGACTCTTTGTGACTCTATGGACTGTGGCCCTGCCAGGCTTCTCTGTCCATGGGATTCTTCAGGAAAGAATACTGGAGTGGGTTGCCATGCCCTTCCCCAGGGGATCTTCCCGACTCAGCGATCGCACCCACATCTCAGGCACCGCCTGCATTGCCACTCGTGTCGCCCAGGAAGCCCTGTGCCGCTTCACTCCCTTCTCAGAGGTCAGTTGACTCTGCTTATGTGGGTCTGCTCCTGGGCTGTCTATTCTGTTTTATTGGTCTGGTGATGGACAGGGAAGCCTGATGTGCCACAGTCCATGGGGTTGCAAAGAGTTGGACATGACTGAGGAACTGAGCTGAACTGATAAATTTTAGAATCAGTATGTCAATACCTACAAAACAACTCGCTGAGATTTTGACTGAAGATTATATTGAATTTACGGGTCAGGTTGGAAAGAACATCTTGAAAGTACTGAGTCCTTTCTCTCCTGCAACCTTATTATGATCACTTATTGTTCTAGTTTTTCTTGTTGATGCTTTCAGATTTTCTACATACGTGATCATGTCATCTATGATCAAAGAGAGTTTTAATTTCTTCTTTCTCAATCTGTGTACCTTTTATCCCTTTTCTTATTTTATTGCATCAGCTAGTGCTTCCAGTGTGCTGTTGAAAAAGAATAGTGAAAGGGGACATCTTTGCCTTTTTCCTAAACTTAGTGGGAAAGCATATTCAATACTTAAGCATACCTCAAGGCCCTGATCACATCTCACTTTCTCTAGAATTTTTCTTAGGAGCCCTTATTGATTTACCTGATCTCCAAATTTGTAAGGATTTAGCAATCATTTAACTTTGAACTGTTTTCCAATGCTGATTTTGTCACTCCAGCTAGGAATGACCTTGCTCAGGGGCAACAGAGCTGTCTTTTAATTGTGAAGCCATACTGTGTTAAGATCTGGGAAAGCAGTAGGTACTCAAAAAATGCATGCTATTAGGTTGACTTTATTTGACATTGACATATATATGGGTTTTTATATACAGAATATGGCTTCCCCAATGGCTGAGTGGGTAAAGGATCTGCTTGCAATGCAGGAGAGAGACACAGGAGACATGGGTTTGATCCCTGGGCTGGGAAGATCCCCTGGAGGAGGAAATGGCAACCCACTTCAGTATTCTTGTCTGAAAATTCCTATGGACAGCAGAGCCTGGAGGGCTACAAAGAGTCGGACACGATTGTGCATATACAATATACACACATACATGAGACAGGAGATCACACAGCAGAGATAACACTGCTTTTCCTTCTAAAATCATCACTGACTTACCAAAGACAACTGCTTCTAGAATCAAAGTTGTAACACAGATGAAATGGAGGTAATGTTTTGGAAATTATTAGTGTTTTTTTTTTCCTTTTTCCATTTCCTTATTCATGATCTTCTCACCAATCAGGCCAAGACTTGTGGGGTGTGGATTTGGGGTGGGACTCCATCAAATTGGATTGCTCCAGATGGAATGTTAGAGAAAGTTGGTTTAACAGAGAGATGATTTTTCTCCATCGCTTTGGCATATCAAGAATCATACCCAGATGATTCAGATCATATAATTTCCTTGTGGTATAAAGAAGAGTGCCCTTGGAATTCCCTCACAGTCCAGTGGTTAGGACTTGGCACTTTCATCACTCCAGGGTTCAACCCCTCCTCAGGGAACTAAGATCCTGCAAGCCACATGGTGTGGCAAAAGCAAACAGAGTGGCCTGTGGCCATGGTGGCTGGCCCATAACTCTTGTTGCCCTATTGTAAACGGCATCTACAGTTCTGAGAAGTGAAAGCCCTTATAGCCCATCACTTTTAGCCTAGGATTATTTGCAGAAGAGGACAAAGAACAGTGACTTATATCAGGCCCCAATTCTTTGTTATACATCACTTTTGACCACTCCAAGCTTTAAAAATATCTGAGTAGCACACATCCCCACACAAACAAGGGAGAGAAGGCATGTGCATCTATGTTCAGAGGTAATATTAAACATATTCAATAACCAGATTCATCTAGACCATTCAGAATCTAAACATTAAGCTGAGCACATTTCTGCAGTTATCTTGAGGGCATTACCATCTTTAATGAGGCAAAAGGAGTCTTGGTACAGGGTTGAGTTCAAGGGGATAATACTCCAGTGAATGGAAACAATGGCTATTAACCAACAAGCATGAGAAAATTGCAACATTTTAACAATGGGTGTAGATAAGGGGCTTCCCTGGTATCTCAGCTGGTAAAGAATCCACCTGCAATGCAGGAGACCCTGGTTTGATTCCTGGGTCAGGAAGATCCCCTGGAGAAGGGATAGGTTACTCACTCCAGTATTTTTGGGCTTCCCTTGTGGCTCAGATGGTAAAGAATTTACCTGCAGTGTGGGAGACCTGGGTTCAATCCCTGGGTTGGGAAGATCCCCTGGAGGAGGGCATGGCAACCCACTCCAGTGTTCTTGCCTGGAGAATCCCATGGACAGAGGAACCTGGTGGGCTACCGGCCATGGAGTCACAAAGAGTCGGAAACAACTGAGCACCTGAGCATGCGTGCATAGATACAGTGGTGAAACTCCATGCACACCAGCCTCGGTGCACCCAACATGGCCTCGATGGAGAGATGGCATGGCAGAGCGAGTGGAAACGAACTTGAGGCAATGCTATTGGCTTCCATCATGGCCTTTGTGTGGTGTGCAGGGGGCCAGAAGCTTCTCTCCTGCAGATCTTAGTGAAGGAACGGGGAAGTGCCCAGCACAAGCCGATGTTGACAGGAGAGCCAGTCCCAAGGATAACTTTCAAGACTTGAGGGAAGAGGGACTTCCCTGGTGATCCAGTGGCTAAGACCACACGCTCTCAATGGAGGGCGCCTGGATTCCACCCCGGTCAGGGGATGGGACCATACCATCAGGGACCCTACACACCACAACTGAAAATCATCCCATGTGCTACAACTTAAAAGGATACCTCAGGCTGCTGTGAAGACAGAAGATCCCGATCGCTACAACTAAGACCCAGACAAACAAACACACATTAAAAGAAGACTCGAGGAAAGAGGCTGGAGTAAAATGTTGCAGAGGAGGCCTCCTGGAAAGTCCACAGCTGAGGGGACCAGTTAACGCCCACTGGTCACTGGCCCAGATAGCAGAAGAAGCTGTTAGGATAAGGGAGGGACCATCAGGACACAAGAAGATGGATTGTGCCTCCTTCACCCCAAG